TTCACTGTTTTCCTAAGCAGTTTGGTATTGAAAGTGAGCAAAATCGGTTCATAACTTAAAAAGTTATGACTAAAAATTTCAGACTACCTCGAAAAAAATTACGTTTTTTTTCCAATTCTTGATTAGTTTTCTCAGAAACTACCGAAGATAATTCGACAAATTTTGTCACAGATTATTTTTTCCATCTATAGATTAATTATGTTTAAAATTGTAACGATCGATCCAAAATTTCCCATAGCCCCCATACAAAGGTACATATTCCCGGAAATTAATTTATCGTTAATAACTTCCTCAAATATATCGGTATCAACACAAAATTTTGTACATATTGACATAATAAGAAAAGGAATCATACTGCCGACTTAGATCTGTATCGGTCCACAATTGGTCATAGCTCCCATATAAGGTCCACTTTCGAAAATCACTTAAATGAACATATTTCATTTATAAATAAAGCTATCGGGATAAAATTCGACAAGAATATGTTTTGTGTATACATAAATCACTCTGAGGAATTTTTTTCCGGATCGGTCCATAATTGGTCATAGCTCCCATATAAGGTTCACATCCGAAAATCACTTAAACGAGCTTAATTCATAGATAAATAAAGCTATCTGGATAAAATTCGACATGAATGTGATTTGTGTATATATGAATTACTCTACGAAATTTGTTCCGGATCGGTCCATAATCGGTCATAGCTCCCATATAAGGTCCATATTCAAAAATCACTTAAATGCGCATAATTCATTGATAAATAATGCTATCAGGGTAGAATTCGAGGTAAATTTGTTTTGTATATAAATATAAATCATTTGTGAAATTTTTTCCGGATCAGTCCACAATTGGTACTAGCTCCCATATAAGGTCCACATCCTAAAATCACTTAAACAAGCTTAATTCATTGATAAATAAAGCTATCGGTATTAAATTCGACATGAATATGTTTTGTGTATATATGAATTACTTAAGGAATTTATTTTTTCGGATCGGTCCATGATTGCCCATAGCTCCCATATAAGGTCCACATCCGAAAATCAGTTAAATGCGCATAATTCATTGATAAATAAAGCTATCAAGGTAAAACTCGATGTGAATTTGTTTTGTATATGTATATATATAAATCATTCGTGAAAATTTTCCACATCAGTCCATAATTGGTTACAGCTCCCATATAAGGAATTTTTTCAGTATCGGTCCATAACTAGATCCCATATAAGGTTCACTTCTGAAAACCACTTAATACCACATAATTTATTATTAAACTTGTCATGAGTATGTTCTGTGTATAGATAAATCATTTTGATTTTATTTTTCGAATTGGTCCATTATTGTTCATAGTTCCCATATAAGATATCTGCAGGATCGGCACATAATAGGTCGAAGAATAATAGGTCGGTATCTGAAAATCACTTAATACAAATGTTTCTGGGCCTAATCAAAATTAGTTACATACATACATGCATAAAGAAGTTACAAAATGATAAATTATCTTAATTACGGAAACAAAACATATGCCGGGTTTTACAGTTCTCCATAAGGGAAATAAAGTACTTTAGTACTAAAGTACATACTTAAGTAAAATTTCTTTCCTTAGTATAAACTATAAATTCGGCTCTAATCTGGGAGGTGACCTAAGTGAGAGCTAGGAATAAATCGGTGGAAAATTTCAGCTCTTTCCTATAATGCAGACAGATGGACAGACAGTCGGACGAATATGGTTATAGTCTACTAAGAACCCAGATCTATATTCAATATTGGCTATAATAAGGGTCAGAAGAAGTATTGACATTTTTATGTTTAAAACAATAAAAGGCGAAGGACTAGGATACATTTGTATAGATTTGTGGGATTCCGATGAAATTCGCTGGCCGTAAAGTTCATAAAAATGCTTCTTCAAAATACATAGGAAATAATTACTCGATATTATGTCAAATAAACATGATTTGAAAGTTTACACACTTTGGAAATAGAATAAGATGAATACTAGAACTCATGAAGTAGGTTAGGTTATGTGGGTTGAGAGTTTGTACATAAAGGAGAATGGTTTCCTTCTCTAATTTGGTTGGCTATGTTTTCTGCGGTCACCATGAGACGCATCTCTGAGACAGTCCAGATCATGGAAAAGAGCTCTACCAAGATACAGTAGTCTATGCTCTTGTAAAGCTGGACAGTCACATAGAAGAGTTGTACCGATTCCCCTTCTTTCTAATCTAAACAACTTATACAGTAGCTATAACCTGGGTAGCCCATACGTTCCGACATACATATGTCCAATCATATAGTGCCCACTAATTATACCCATGAGAAGCCTAATCGAGTTCTTACTTAAAGACAAAAGAGTCCTAGTTCTATCCTTTGTCAGAGTGGGTCTCGATATTCTACAAGTGGTGATATTTGACCACCTGAGTTCCGTGTCACTCAAAGCCCAGTTATCTATCAATTTTGATAGGGTCACCAGTGGAGTGTGAATGCCACTTTGCGCAAGAGTTAAGTCTAGGGACGACCCTTTTGTTGTGCATTCATCCGATATTTCATTTTCCCGGATGGCCTCATGTCCTGTGTGTCCTGTACTGCAATGACGTAGACATTTCGACTTAATAACGTTGGAGTTAAGAGCCTTGATTGATGCAAGGCTGTCCAAGTATATGTATAGTAGGGTGATCGATTATTCGACATTTTCCAAAAACCGGTTTTCGAATAGTTCGAATAGTTGACATTTAAAAAAAACCGGTTGATATTTTTCAAATTCAGAAAAAACCGGTTAACCGATTTATCATTACAATTTAAAAAAATATATTTTAATTTGAAAAACTTAATGTTTATGTTTAAATTTGATTAATAAAACATGGCCCGAAATGATTTTTAACAGTTTAAAAGATTATAACTTTAGATCTAGTCGTCTGATTTACATTATTTCTTTAATATAAAAATATTAGGAAAAAAGTGGGACACTTCTGTTAAACATGTAATCCTAGCTTATTTTAAAAGCCCTGTTTAGGAAATTTGCATAGGCATTCCAACACTTCCATAAAATTTCAGCCGTAAATTAATTATTGTAGTTGGAATATAATCTTAAGATTGCTAAATTTTATCAAACAGTTATCCATTTTACAAATAATTTTAATTAATTAGGAAAATCAAAAAAGTTTAACGAAAAGAGCTGTAGAAAAATATACTCTAGTTCCTCGACTCGAATATTTTTAAAATTTACTTAAAAATTTCATTTAAATAATTTTTAAATACAAAGCAAATAAAAGTATTTGAAACCGGGTTTTAAAAAATGAAAAAACCGGGTTATTCGATATTCGAAAAATCAACATTAAGAAAAAACCGACACTGGTAAAGCAGAAAAAAACGGTTTTAAAACCGGTTGAAAAATTGAGTCGATCACCCTAATGTATAGTCAAATTTTCGAAATTCAGAGATTCGTGAAGTAAGAGGAAATAGAACTTGTGCATTTTATAAGGTCAGACAGTCAGTATTATACAATTTTTCTTAAATTTATTATTAAATGTACCTAAACATATTGCCTTTTTGTGGCCTTCAATCAATAATCTTATAGGAATAAAGTACTTAATATAAACATTATATTAAATTTCCTTACACAGTGGGCATTATCTATAGTTATGAAATAGTGTTTGTTTTTATTAAATGACCACATATTGTTTATTATTCATTACAATGTAAGCATGTGTATGAACACAAATAGTCGGGGATATGGTAATTCGAAATGTGTTAATGTATGTATGTATATGGAACGATATTTTACACTTTCTGCACATACCCGGTAGATCGGTAGGAAATAATTGCTCTAAAACTCACTCTTAAGTAGTGTTAGAATTCTTTTTATCCATTCTAATGTGTTTTGTTTAGATTAATTCACTTGAGAATTACTTATGAATTTTAAACTGACCACTTAAAGAGCCAACGGGTTTTCATTCATAGTTTGTAAGTTTCTGCTTCATTATTGTTGCTAACGTTTGTTTGATTTTATTTTTGTTTGTATTTTGAAGCCTTTTGCAAGAAATAATTACATTGTTTATTATCTTGAAAAGTTGTCATTAACATAGATTTTTACCTAAATGTGTCAACACATGATAAAAATCTCGACAGCAAAAATATATATTCATTGAAAGAAACGGATAGTTGTGTCATTTCTATGATTTAAAGTGTTCAAATGAATAATGAAGATAATTTAATGGAATATTAAAAGTTAATGGTGGGTGGTTATGGGTCATATTTGTAGATGTTAAAAAACTTAAGAGAAAATATTGGTTAATAATCAAATGTGTTTACAACACTTTAGGAAGAAATATATAAATTAGGAATAATGGAGAAATATGGATAATATTCGTATAAGGAATTAATTTTTCACAAAGACATATTCATGTATACTAGTGTAACTCCGTTTGTATGAAGAAGAAATAAGGTACAGGTGTACATAATCGTTAAAATTTAAGATTTCTCATACGTTAAATCACATGAAGCCATATAGGTTACATCTCAAATATAGCAACGATATTTTTTTATTTTCCTCTTATTGATTCAATTCATTTAATTTCAATTCAATCAAGTATTTCTACATTTTATAACTCAAGGTATTTGCTTTATCTTTACAAAAAACTGTTAAAATACATCTTATAACCAGACTGTGTTTGAAGAGGAAGCACAATAAAAAGAAAAACACATTTACCTAAAAGAAGGCAAAATAAAAAGTCATAAAAGTAAAAAAAAAAACATACATATATTGAACTTAAGAATCAATTTAATTAAATTAAGAAAAGTAAAATCAACAACATAAAGAAGTTTATCTTGCAGACAAATAAAATAAGAATCCAGAATAACTGAGACTGTTCGGATAATTGTTTATCTAGAGTTAAGTTTAATTGTTATTGATGAGCTATCAATGATGCTATTTTTTATAAACAACTTAAACATACTTATATAAATATAAAAATATAAAAAAAACAAAATAAATTAATCTGTATTAAACCAACCTTTTTTGTCCAATATATAGAGGGTACAGGATTGCCCGAACCCTTGCACTCCAAAGTAACCGGGCCACCTTTGCGGGCCTGTAAATTACCCGAGGTGGGAGTGGCACGTACACTAGGGGGCACTGTTTAAAAACGATGAATTAATTTTCTTTAATACCGATAATAAATTTCCTTGTAAATCTTCTTACCCAGTATCTCCACTGTATGCACTTGATCGCGATTTATTTTATCACTTATCTGACAGACATAATCACCAGCATCTTGTGGTTCCAAATCGGAAATTTCTAAATTATAACCATCTATCAGTCTTATACGTTCATCCCTTGTCACCATTATGTTAGAGGCGGTTAAAACATTTATACCACGACGCCATAATAAGACAAATGTTCCTGTAATGTAAAGAAAAACAAAAATACAAATCATTAGTTATTTTTATGCTGGCAGCTTGTAGAAAAATAGTAAATGTAAGAAAACGAATAAAATAGTTGCCTTTGAAATCTTTAAGGAAAAATTTAAACTCAAACTTTAACAATTTGTTAAGTAATAGAAATTTTGATTTGAAATATAAATATTTTAAAGTCTATTTTTAGCAGGAATATGTTGCACTAGGATTTCATGTTAAGATAGCATTACTCTTAATTGAGTAATTTGTTATTAAATCAATTCGAAGCAGTAAGAAAAAGGATTTGCTGTAATGAAGTACAAAAAAACTAGATTCAAGTACGGATAGAACAGGTACAAAAATCTTGAATTTAGATGATCCGTTATAGATAGATCTATAGTCCAGATTATAGACTGATCTATATCCCAGACTATAGAGAGATCTATAGTCCAGACTAGAGAGAGATCTATAGTCCAGACTATAGGCTGATCTATAGTCCAGACTATAGACTGATCTATAGTCCAGACTATAGACTGATCTATAGTCCAGACTATAGACTGATCTATAGTCCAGACTATAGACTGACCTATAGTCCAGACTATAGACTGATCTATAGTCCAGACTTTAGACTGATCTATAATCCAGACTATAGACTGATCTATAGTCCAGGCTATAGACTGATCTATAGTCCAGACTATAGACTGACCTATAGCCCAGACTATAGACTGATCTATAGTACAGACTATAGACAATCAGACTATAGACAGATCTATAGTCCGGACTATAAACTAATCTATTGTCCAGACTATAGACTGATCTATAGTCCAGACTATAGAATGATCTAAAGTCCAGACTATAGATTGATCTATAGTCCAGACTATAGACTGATCTATAGTCCAGACTATAGACATATCTACAGTCCAGACTATAGACTGATCTACAGCTCTTACCATATACTGATCTGTAGTCCATACTATAGGCTATAGTCTATACTATAGAATGATCTATAGACCATACTATACACAGAACTTTAGTCCAGACTATAGATTGATCTATATTCCATGCTATAGAAAGATGTACAGTCCATACTATAGACTGATCTACAGTCCATACTATAGACTGATCTATAGTCCAGACTATAGACTGATCTATAGTCCAGAATGTAGACTGATCTGTAGTTCATACTATAGACTGATCTATAGTCCGGACTATAGACTGATTTATAGTCCAGACTATAGAAAGATCTACAGTCCATACTATAGACTGATCTATAGTCCGGACTATAGACTGATCTATAGTCCGGACTATAGACTAATCTATAGTCCAGACTATAGACTAATCTATAGTCCAGACTATAAACTAATCTATAGTCCGGACTATAGACTAATCTATTATAGTCCGGACTATAGACTGACCTATAGTCCAGACTATAGACATATCTATAGTCCATAGCAGTCATCTTTTGAGCCAGACAGCGTATTAAAGAACAAGAAGTTCAGGTTCATATTCTTATTTCTAACTCCTTATTTTTAAATACTTATTTAAGTAGTTATTTGTTAGCGAGCTTGGTAAGTACTTGCCTCTAATGTCATCACCGTGTTAAAATAATAAGTTAAAATCCTAATGAAGAAGTAGTGGAAGGCGGCTTTTTAGCTGTTTAACTCATTACTTTTCAATGTAAGTTTTTGCTGGGATACTTTGTACATTTTACTTTCATAAGTTCAAAAAAAAGCTATATTTACAATAATATACTACATTTTAGCTTCGTTCCCATTTTGTAGATGTTACATTTATGTTCCAATTAGTACATATCATTTTATAAAAGTGTTGAAAAAAAATTGCATAACAAATTTTTATTAATTTGCAACACAAATTATTTGTTTAAAAATCAGACAAAATTGTTCATATATATAGTTTAAGGAATAAAACCTTTATTCTAAAACACAAATATTATTTGAAAAAAACACTCTCTCTCATAGTACATAGTATTTATGAAAACAATTTATAAAAACATAAATTGCATTTTTAGTAAAAAAATATATTTTTGCAGAAATATTTAAAATAGAAGAGGAGTACAAAAAAAAATAAATAAATTGAATTTAAAACAGATATTTAACAGAGTAATAACATAATGTAAATATGTAGTTATTACTAGGTATTGCATCTCCTAATACTAGTAGGAGAGAAAGCTAAAAGCATTACCCGGTAATGTGGCAAATAATATATGTTTAATAAATGTTTTATATTATTGGGAAACGTAATGTGGCATGTAATAAATGCTTTATTGATTTTAATTTTATAAGCAATTTCATTCTTTTATGAACTGTTTTTAAGAACTAGGTAAATAAATTTATAGATACAAATGTCTATAATTTATTTGTTTGTGGACTTATTTATACATTTGAATTATTTTTTATGTTTTTTACTCTAGGAGTTGGTAACAAAATTTTATCTTTTTTTTAAACAAAAAATATTTTTTTATTGAAAACTCTTGTTCTTCAACAATATACTTTTGTTACGATTTTGTTGTACATTTAAAAGTTTTAGCATTTGTTCTGCTTGGTTTTTATTTATTTATTTTTTGTAATAAACATTTAAGTTCTTTCGTTTTAGCCTTAAAATATAGCAAAAAAATATATATCTACATAAAGAAAAACATATTTTATCTATTTACTGGTAACAAGTGTTACCATAAAATCGAGTGAAATTGTTTTTCAATGTTTTATGGAGTTAAGGTTTTTTTCTCAACAAAATAAATTGTTTGAACTTATAAACATTTAAATGGATGGGATCAGGAAATATTGTGTTTTAAAAAAAATTTAAAATATACTTATAAATTTGTTTTTTGCTATTAAATGAAAGCTTTGAAACTTGAAGATTTTTTTCAAGCTGAATTTTTATTTTAATTAAATTTTTTAAAGTTGTTGAGGAAATAGTACATGAGCATAAGACCTGATTATGAAAAACAGTTTCCTGTACACATAGATTTTTTCATGTGTGAAAATGTCTGTTGCACGGTGTAACCATATAACAGTTTTAATATTTTCAAAATTGTATTTTTGTTTACAAAATTTTCTTTCCTAATTTAAATTTTTTTGCAACTTTTCTAACTAATAAAATTAAAATGTTATATTTTTTAATGAAAGTCACGTAAAAATCTCATTCTATGTTTTTTAAAAATAAAAATAAATAATTCTTATTTTAGTAGTTGGCATTATTAATTCATTTATTTTTAATAGCCCTTGGGAACAAAGGTAAAAATTATTTTTTAAATATTAATTTCAATTTTATGCAAAGATAAATAAATAGAAAAAAGTCATTATAATGATGAAATGTCAATATAATTTAAAGAAATTTAAATGTTGTTAAAGGAAAATTTTTTAATTGAAATAATTTAAAAATTTTATTTTTTGGATTAAACTTATTAAAATATACTATACGACAAAAATAAATAACTGGGGAACTGGGAAAATCGTTTCACATTCAACTACAGTTACTGACTTAAAAGTGCTTAAAGGTACGAAAAACCGGTTTTTACCCGTATCTCAAGATTTTGGTGGCGTTTGGCAAATTTTGAAAAGAGATTCTTGTTCTACTAGTATCCACATTTCAGAAAAATAGTATCGCTACCTGGTATTTCAATTTTCGTTTATTCTGTCACACTGTGCTACTAACCTTAAGATAAACATTAGCTTTGACAGTTCAAAAACCGAAATTTAAGATTAGTTTAGAAATTGTAAATTATATTTATCAAAAAAAGATGATTTTCAACAAACTTAAAATATTTTATTTCACTTAATACTTTACCCTACTTTCCAGCAATAAATCAATCTTTTTCACAATACTCTCTAGTGAAAATAAAATACCCAAAATAAAATATAAATAAAACAAAAATTCTAATTAAATCCTATAACAAATAAAACATGTATAGAACTTGTTAACATTTTTTCATTAAGTTTTAATTTAATTTTTCGTTAGTTTTTACTTCAGATTAACTTTTTAATCAAATCAACACTTCCCTATACAAGTGCAAAAAGAAAGTGGAAACTTTATTTTATTTATCATGCCACACCACTTTATTCTAAATCCTCCAATGAAATAGGAGAAAGACTTAACAAATAAAAGAGGATTTGAAAAATATATAAATGTATAAAAAACAGATTTGTTGGGAATGAAAAAAACTCCCAATAAACAAGTATGTAATTCAATATAGATTAGATTTAACAGATAAAATATACAAATAAAGAAACAAACATTGAACTGGAAAAATAAAATAAAACAAATAACAAAAAAACCAATATGCAACATAAAGAAAATTAATCTGCTACATAAAACTCTTGTAAAAGACTTAAAATACTACATACGAATAGAATAAAAATGCATAAACAAAAGTGCAATGAAATTAAATATGGCTTTATGCTAATAAAACATTTAAATAGTATTAAATACTGGCTGCAAATTCTTTCTTCTGTTTTAGTTTTTTATAATTAATCCAATAAAACCTATTAAATGTCAAATGTTGACTCTTTTTGTTGTTGCTATATACATATGTTTAATAGTTAATATAATGAATCAGGTGTTTATCTAAGGGATAATATAGTTTGACCATAACAAGATTATATTAGTTTCTAAAAATAATAAAAATAAAGTGGATTTTCATTGATTAACTTATGCATATTAGGGGAAGTTTACTCAAACTTAGGAGAGAAATACTGGGTGGTATATTGTTTTTGTCATTCTGTTTGTAACACATCCAAATATTGATCTAGGACCCAGAAAAGTATATATATTCTTGATCCTCATTCGATTCTAAGACGATCTAGCCATGTCCGTCCGTCTGTATGTCTGTCTGTCTGTCTGTGCGAAAAAAGCTAGAGGGTTGAAGTTTTTCAAAAATACTTTTTATTCATACAAGTTGTTTGGTATTGAAAATAGGGAATATCGGTCTACGTTTTCGCAAAGCCCCCATACAAGTGGCCAGCCGGAAAACAGTTTTAACAGTCATAA